GCCGTCCGCAGACGGTGGTCGCCATCGCAGCGCACCGAGCCGTCCTCCCGAGCTCGCGTGGAGCCATCCTGGGAGCTTCGTGGAGCTCTCCAGAGATCCGACGTATTTAGGAGAACAAAAAGTGGCATAAGCATAAAAACTCGGAGGTCCGCGCGGATTTCTCGGATCGGCGGCGGCGCCTCCGGCGCCGCCTCCGGCGCCGCCTCTGGCGCGCCTCCGGCGCCGCCCCTGGCGCGCTCCGCACGCCAGGAAGGGGGGTCCAGCGCCGATCCGAGAAATCCGCGCGGACCTCCGAGTTTTTATGCTTATGTAACTTTTTGTTCCCTTGGTATGAAAAAATCAAGACGGAGGTTTTTCGCAGAGTTCGGCCCCTGGGGGCTCTCGCCGGGCTTGGGGACCGTCAAGGAAGGACTCGGGATGAAGAACAGGTCCTGAGGAGTGGGTCGAGGCTTCTGGGGACCCCGTGTTGAAAGAATCACGACGTCGGATCTCAGGGTCTGGGGCCGACGACGGATGTCGTGCAGCTTTCGCAGTTCCGCATTGAGCCGAAAAGCAGGGGGGGCCAGAGCACCAAGATCAGGCGCGCTTCAACAGCGCGTTTGACCTGCCAAGGCCTTGCTGAAGGGTTCCTTGGCAGCCCCTCGGCTAGCCTGTCGCATTGGGCTTCTTGGGGGCATCTTGGCGCTTTGGGGGAGCATTTCGGCCGTGCTGCTGGGCTGCAATATTGCAATGGTTTCGGGGCTGCGTTAGGTCGTCTTAGGGCCATTATTCAGCTGCGCAGTGCTCGGGAGAACCGGGAGAACCAGGCTTCGAGGGCGGCAGGCAGGGGGGGGGGGGGGGCAACCCTTTGTTTAGCGAGGGGTGTGGGGGGGAGGCCTCCCCTGGAAAGCTGGCAGCTGGCTTTCTCGCCCGCCCCCCCGCAACTCAGCCGTTTTTGGGGCTCCCGCGCGGCACACCCGCCGTGCGCCAGGCCCGCCTCCCCCCCCACCACCTTCCCCTCCCGAGGGGTCCCCACGCCCGCGTGTAGACGCTTGCGCCCGCGGCCCCCGGGGGGCCCGACCCCTTCACCGCGGGCCAGCGTCTCGCGCAACCCCATCATCAGCATACTTCATCAGGGGTTGAAATGGAAACAACAACAACAAACAGAACAACGCATCAGCATCAACAACAAAAAACAACAACAACAACAACAACAACAATCATTTTACCCGAACGCGTGGTGTTCTCCCCAGTGCCAGGGTTTTCATACGACACCAGGCAATACCCCCACTTCGTGGGGGGGCATTACAAGCTCTACCAAATATCCAAACGACTCTTCGCGACCACCCAAACCCAG